TAGAACACAAATCATTTACTTTATCATTGTTGTATTTAAATCATACTCATGTTGTTCTGTTTAAGAGTATATTGTTTATGATGTAGGCAGTTTTCTTCCATGCAAATATATTGATTACACAGTCAGAAATATTTAAAAAGTAAGCTCATATAACAGAGACAAGGAAAAACAAAAATGAGAAAAATAAATCTTTATCCTGATTTTTATTTCAGGTTTTACATACTTTTTGAAAATATTTGATAAGAAAATTCAGTGAATCAAGACTTTGAAGAATAAGATCTATGTCATTAGTTGTCTCCATTGTTAGAGATATTCTGATTTGATATATCTATGATAACAAGAAGTATAAAAACACAACAAGAAAAGAAAGTTTCTCTAACTTTTCTCTAATGTTCCACAGTTTATTAGCATGTCCAAAAATGGGGAGCTCCGTAGAGAGGACGTGTGTGCCGAGGTTCCCGTATTCTCCACACAGGCTGTGGAAAAGGTCAGAATGGTGCGTTGTCATGGCAAGCGCGGGAATCAGGAGTGGTTGTTGGCAAAGGTGGGCCTCTATTTTGTTCCTTTTCTTTTCTTCTCCCTTGTTTTTTTTAAATTTTGAGTTCTCTTTATTTCCCTTCATTCTCTCGCTGGTAAAATTTCTGTTGGAGCATTTCATTTATATTTACTTTACATTTGCATTTACAGGTAGAGAATAAATGTGTATTCCCAGTGTATCTGAACTTCATCACAATTTATTTCTCTTCCGCAGACCGGGCACATCATACACAAAGCCACAAACAAATGCTTGGACAGAGGAGACAAGCAGGCCATGGACGATGTGTTCGTGACAACCTGTGCAAACACAAGGACGCAGCAGTGGTGGTTCGATCATTACCTGCCTGTCAGCTCATACTATCCTTGAGATGTGACAGGACTGTAGCAAGATTATTTTTATTATTATTATTATTATGTTTGATTTTTTAACACTTTATTTATGGTAGTGTCTTTTACATCTTTTTTAGAATTCATGCATCAGGGAAATAGTATGATTTTCAGCAGTGGAGAGGCAGAACTCTAGATTATGTGTCATAAAGGCTCAAACTCCTACATTAGTGAAAATGATACCATACCCTGTAAACCAAAATTAAATGTGTATGATAGATTTTGTAATCTCTCTTGTTTTATAGATAATAATAATGATTATGAAACACCTATAAACCCAGTCAAGAATGTATGTGTCACGAATGCAAGTAATATCTGTGATTTCTGAATTCCACACAAGTTATGTGAATGTCCTCATAGAGCGTAATCATAGGGTGGATTTTGTCTTAAGCTGGCCAGTTTTATACGAATAAGATGAGGACTCGGAGGTTGAGACAGAAATAGTCATATGATACTGATATTCAGTCGGTAGTGAGCTTTTATACATATTTATATATATATGAAAGTGGGCAGCGATGTCTTTAAATTAGGAGACGTAATTTTTTAGGGTTTGACCTCTAATGAGCGTAAGACGGTGTCATAAGATGATACAGTATCATTGAACATTGTTATTCTTTCCTTTCAAAGAACGTGATGTCATTAGCATTTTATTGTTCTTCTTTCCTTTCCAAGAATGTCATGTGATTAGTATTTTATTTATATATACATATTTGAAAGACCTTGGCCACAAATAAGATTCAGGTCATACCAGTCAGATGTTTAGGATAGATTGGAAATGACATATAAATAACAATGAAAACTGTGAGCCAGTCCTGAACTGGGTACCAAGGGTGCTTGCAGTACTGTGCACTTCATTTTGCAGGATAATGATATTATGTTGTCTGCGTAATGCAAGTACGAATTTGTTGAAGAATAAGGGTCGTCATATGAGCTGACAAAAAAAAAGGAGGAAAATGAATCAGCAGTAAAATTAGACTCATTGTGATTTAGAGGAAATCTATACAGATGTATTTTTTTCCATTGTGAAGGATACAAAGACAAGCCAGTCAGCTTATTTTTATTATCATTTCATTACTATTTACTCTTTATTTTATTCTTCTTTGGCCAGCTTTCAGCTAGTAGAGTCTGTTGATTTCTGCCACCTTTTAGATTTATTGAAGAAAATGAAAGTGCATTTGCCTCTTTTTTAATATGTCGACCTTGCAAAGAGGACAGCACTTTCAAACTTATATGATAAACATGTTGAAGTAAGGACTGAGCCGTTCAAAATGTGATAAGAATTATACTAACACTTTTAATTTTTTTATTAACTAATTTGCTTTTTTGTACATGTATAGTGGTATGCATATTTTCTGTTTTTTGCATAATTTGTTTGCAAATAACTGGTGTTTCCAAGGAGAGCAATGGTTACCAGAAATATTTAACATATATTTAGATAATGTTTGAAATCTTTCTCATTAAGAATGTTTCTTTTGCCTCCTATGATTTAACATTCTTATGATGTTTTGTTCTATGGTTATAGAGAATTCATGGCAAGTTCAATCAATTGAATTTTTTTTTTATATGGGATGTGTGATTTTGTTTTGATTCTCTTCACAATAGTCAAGTGAAATGATGAAGTAGAATATTAAGACATACTTCAGAGAACCTCAGTTTTTAGTTACCCAATAATTTCTCAATTTTCCCCCCCCATGTTTCTTTCAAAGTGGGAATGCAATAGCTGTGTTGATTGATTTTTGTTTATATTTAATATATTTTATACCTGTGTTTGATTGATTTTTGTTTATATTTAGTGTATTTTATTTATTCATTTATTTTTTTCCATTTTATCATGAGTCAGTATTGAGGTGCCTTTTAGAGTGATAGTGACAGTGACGTGGATTTCCGCACCGACACCATTCCATCCATGTATTATTGTTTTGTGTTTAGTTTTACACACAATGTATGATCATTATTACATTTGCATAAATTGTAACATGAGGTACATTCCACTCTATGTGATCCTGTGTATCTTAGTGTGTATGTGCAGTATATGTATGGTGTAATGAGGAATGTATGTTCTGAACTCTGTACAAATGCCAAATGCACCATGTAAGTCTGTTTCACTGACTCTGTTGAATTAACATGGGTTTTGGGTCAGTAAAATGGGTCTTTTCAAATGATTGCTGGAATAGTATGATAAAGCACTGGTCAAGTGTGTTTTAGTTGCAATACACCAATTTTCGGGTGAATTATGGCCCTTCGTTGACTTGAGTTTCGCACTTGGGTCCTTGGAATAGACTGTAAGTGGCATATGTACTGTCATGTTGTGTTGCTGCCTAAGGAAAACAAAAACAAAATGAATGTATGGTTATATGGCAAGTTAATATTGCACTGGTGAATTGGAGGGCTGTTATGTTGATACTAAATTTGATTGTGACAACAGGTTTATAACAAGGACTTTAGCTTTTTTCGAAGTAATGAATTCCAAATTTGTGTTTTCTCATCTCTTTTGCTCTCTCTTCTTCTTTTACATTTTGTTTTTCCTCCTCTATCATAGTGTGTTGCTTTTTTTCCATCCTGTCTGTAGAGTATCTTCTTGAATTAACCTGGACATTAAACTGATTCAGACAGAGACACATATCCATTTGCTCTAGGAAGAAGAAACTTTCAGAGTGAAGTACTTGCATGGAAATGAGAATAGTTGTTTCTTGTAAGGTGTGAAATGAAATGAGCCACATACAGGGGTAATATTAGACTGCAGCAAATACCTGTGCAGAGTGTATCATATTGATACGCAGATATAAGTTTTGCACTAGGAGTTTAGCATATAGGATAGCTTTCACTGTGAGTGTGTGATTCGTTGGAGATAGATTTAGGTACTGTTACGGTGCTGAAATTCCTAAGTTAGAGTATTTCGATCTGCTCTGTGAGTGCAGCTTTCGTCTTTCATTGCTTCATACCCCATTTCTCCTCTTTTTTTTTCTTTTTTTCCACTTTATTGTTATTAATGTTCTTATTCTTCTGCTTCTACCTCCTTTTCCTCTTCCTCACCTCCTTAAAGGTATTGTTCATTCCAGTGTGCACAGATTATGTTAAAGCCAGCTAAGGTATTTATCTTTAACTTTTGAGTATTTCCAAAGTGGAGATGATATACTTTATCTGAAGAACTAAATTGTGAGAATGGTAAATTTTGCTCTATTTTTATATATCTAATAGTCATTTGTACTGAAAGCTACTTTACAGCCAAATCAAATATCAATATTCAACAAATATAGACAGTTCATTGCATTTTTAAATGAAGACAGTTTTTAAACATGGTTTTGGTTTGAAATGTTTACTCCTTTTTATTATTATTAGCGGTGGAGAACAAAAATTAGACATAGGGTGTCATTCTGTCCATATTTGTTCCAAAAAGTAATAAGCAAAAAATAAGCAGACAAATTGTGAAAAGAAGTGCATGGAATTTTGACACATAAAGCTTTTTTCTTCTTGCCCGAGAACAACATAGTTAAGAAATGTCGTCATTTATATGGTGTGCAATAAATGACAAGAGAGGAAAGTTCCAGAAAACAAGATACACATGCACTTGGACTTTGATATATGATTGAAATATTGATAGCAATGTATGTTGCAATTATTGGGTGAAACTTTGAAATAATATATTTTTTATTCCAATTTTATATATCAAAAGATTTATGACTGTTGTTTTGTTACACATGATCAGAAATATAAGGTTTTTTTTTTTTCTTTTTTCTCTTCTTTTTAATATAATTCTTGTCTGTTATGTTGTTAGTTGTTAATATGCAGGATAATTTTAGGAATAATTAATTTGTCGATTTTTGTCCCAAGGGGAAATCTCAGATATCTTTGGATTATCATAAAACATTCACTGATTTCCTCTAGACTCTCAAATTAGGCAGCTTGAAAATATTTAAAAGTAAATCATGAAACCTGAAAATAAAAGCAAAGAATATCCAGATTTTGTAAGTATTTGTCAATAATATTGTTTCAAGTTATTTTAAGATATGTTATTAAACATGCAAGTGAAGAAACTTATGATTTTATATATCTATATTTCATAGTCTTCTCGTACAAGGATATATTTCTGTCCTTTTTTTCATTCTCCTTGCAATTTTGAACATAGAAAAGATAACATATGATAAATAGAAATGATAATAAAGTGGGTAATTCCAATATTCTCTGTCATGTATTCCTTGACTTACGAGCATTTTTCGTTCCAATAGTTGATAATGACAAAAAGGCTTTAGGAGTAACGCATGCACTCAGGATCTTAAAGAGCTTTTATGTGATGGTTATAATTTCTTTGATTTTTTTTATTTTTTTTTTATTTTGTGAATGTGTTATTTTTCTTACATTTATTTATTTTGGTCTGGCTGTCAGCTTGTGAATGGTTCTGTTTTATTTTGATGCAGGCACTGATTTTCTAAACTTTGTGATAGGTGATTTTTTTTTTTTCATTGTCCAGTATTTATGCACCATGTGTGTACATAGTGATGGAATGAGGGTGTGAGTAAAGGTTATTTTTCATAAATGTATTTGTATTATTTATCCTCTCTTGTTAAAGAAGATATATATCCGATTTGTGTGGAATGGTTAATAGATGGCTCTTAGGAAATGCAGATATGAGTTCCTGGTGAAATAAAACATTTTACAGTACAAAAAATTATTAGCAGAAATGCACACATTCCTCTGAACTATAATACACCTACTGCAGCTGCCCCCCTCCCTCCCTCACTTCCTTACCAAATAGTCGGGACTCTAGGGCTTACCACAGGATTTCCTTGTGTCAAGCAAAAGTGTTTTTGTATACAGCAAGTAAATTCAGTTGGACAGGTAAAAAGTACAATGAAAGCACATGTTTGTTTTCAGAAAGACTATGTAAATCAGCCCTGTGCAACCTGCGGCCCAAGGGCCGCATGCGGCCCTCAAAGGCTTTCATTGCGGCCCTTTCTCCTAAAAATAAATAAACTATAGTGCGGCCCTCAGAGAGAGAGAGAGAGAGAGAGAGAGAGAGAGAGAGAGAGAGAGAGAGAGAGAGAGAGAGAGAGAGAGAGAGAGAGAGAGTGAGAGAGAGAGTGAGTTACCAAGTAGAGCCCACCGAAAGTTTGACAAAATTCATATTCTCGTGTACCAGTATCACCATATTTTTTCTATTTCGTTCACTAAGGTACAGATTTTAATTATATTAGAACAGAAAATAATATATTACTTGATATTTTTAATTATTAGATTGAGTGATCATTGGCTGTCTGTCTATGAGTCTGACACGTATGGTTCACGTACTGTAGTATGGTACGTGTGCTCTCGCCTGTCAGTACCGCTGCCTCACCAGTCTCCGTTGTGACTTCATTGGTTGTGGTTGATTTGTGATTACCAGTACGTACTGTAAGTTGTTAATGTTGCAGTTTTGTGATTGACTTTAGAAAATTTGCAAGCAAAATTTTGTGTGGTTTGATGTGTGTTAGTACAAGTGAGTGCGAGTGCAAGTATATCATGTACTGCAGAGTGTGTGCACAGATTTGCGGAGAAGTGAGATCCAGTTCGTTGTGTATGTATGTGCGTGTGTATGAGTGCTGCTGCTCCATTGCTGTGTTTGTCTGCTTGTAATGTGATCGCTCGGGTGTATCAGCTGACGAAAATACCACGACAATTGTCATGGCGATGCCGATTGAGTTGTGTGCTGTATGTAATGATGTTTGTATGCTTGACTGTGGCGATATACAACGGGGAGTCGAGTGTTGAGTAAATTATTTCCTACCTTTATCAGTATAATCTCACATAATATGTCTTCGACCGTAGTAAATAACATGAAATAGTAAGGTTATGTGGCCCTCCATACCAACAGAGTCGTGACTAGTGGCCCTTTGGGAAAAAAGGTTGCACACCCCTGATGTAAATGATAAAATGCATCTTAATTGTAACAAATTGTTTGGACATGTCTTTGTAAACTAAAGATGCAATTCTCCCTGACATCAATTGGACTCTTTCTTCCTTTGATCCCCTACTAAACATCATCTAACCCCTGTCATTCCCCACAGGCTCTAAGTTCATGACCATTCATAGAGATAATACACACTCACTCCACAGTCAGTACTACAGCTCACCTGCCCCAGGAATGGTGACAATGGCCACTGTTCACTTCTCTTGAAAAGCATTGGTGCAAGAATATAGCCCCACCTCATTCCTGAAATCAAAGGAATAAAAAGCAAGAATACCTCCACTATACTCTACAGCACTTTTTCTTGGGAAGATTCATATTCTCAGAAATTACAATCAACCAGGTCCTTCAGATCAACCTTATATAAGTATTACTGAGAAAAGCAGGGTATGAGGCTATGCAACAAAGCGTTTATTAAAAGTTTTGTTAATTTAAACTTTCATCTATAAAATAAGCATCTATCATTGGAGCGTATTAACATGAACATATCAAAGATTGTGGTACAGATGAAAGTTTGAATTGACCAAACATTTAATATATGCATCAATGGGTGATTACTCTGAGAACACCTTTTGATGTGTATACCTTCATCTAACTATGTTTGGGGCTTCCAAGCAATCAATGGAGGTGACACAGATGGAGGCACATGGCTGCTTCCTGCCACAAGGAACCATCATAGTTAGCAAGGCCTCGGCCCATCCCTAACTCCTCACGACTGGTCAATCTGCCCAAACAACAAATTTCTAGGATGTCCCATGGGCTTCCTCCACAAAGGGTTGTCACAGGGAAGACAACTTGGTGAGCAAGATCATTCATGGGGAAATGAGCTAGTTGCCCATATAGCCTTGGCGGTCCCGGATTGTGATAGTAACAGGTCCTATGCCAGTCTCCTGGTTTAGCACTGGTTGAACACACACTGTTCTGTCAACTGTATGCTAAGACAAGACTCTAAGGCACAGGATAGCATCAAGCTTTCACTTCTATAAAGTAAAACTGGCAGTATGAAGGCCTTGATGATACGTAGCTGAGTACTATGGCACTTGCTTCCAGGCCAATCTGTATACTGCCTTCCTGGTCTAACAGCCTAGAGTAAAGGACTACATTACCAAGGCATGTAAAGCTCTCAGACAGGTTCTCTCAGCAGCCCCCCAAAATTTTGGTCTGGTCCAAAAGACCTCTTGACCCAAGAGCTTTGCCCCATTGCCAAATGCATCAAGAGCAGCCACCAAATATTCTGATAGGGTAGCAACATCAGCAAAGTCAAGGTCAGTGATCTTGATTTCATCCAGTGTTGGTCCACAGTGACTTTGGATAGTAACTCTACCCATTATCCAGTCTGTGCAGGCATTGAAAAGGGTTGATGTGTGAACACAGCCTTGTCTCAATCCAGAATTAACAGGGAAGTAGCTAGTCAGGCCTTCCCCTAAGTCTAAGGATCTCCCAAAGCGATTCGCGATGTACCGAGTTAAATGCCTACTTGAGGTTGATGTAACCAGCGAGCAGTCCACGCCCAAACTGACACTGGCATTCCACAGTAACACGAAGCGCTAGGATATGCTCTATTGTGGACTTGCCAGGAGTGAATCCAGATTGCTCCAGTCTCTGGTACCTTAGTGGGTGGTCACAGATATGTATCAGAAGAAGGTGAGCGAAAACTTTGTCTGGTATGCTGAGTAGTGTGATGCCACGGTCATTTGCTGCTGTCCTATCGATCCCCTTTCGAGGGGGATGACCACACCCCTCAACAGGTCCGGGGGATGGTAACAGACTGCTAGATGGCAGCACCAGCCTTTACCAGCTCAGCAACCCCAAATGGGCACTGCTTTCCCACCCTTTAACCTAGAGATAGCCTCCCTAAACTCTGGGTAGGAGGTTGATGCTGATTGGTGGATTTGGCACAGAAATTGCGATACCACTTGCATCCAGACTGACTGCTTGAGGTTAACCTGATACAGCTGCTCAAAATGCTCAGTCCAACATGATCTGAGATGATCTGTCCATCCACTGAGTGCACTTTGAGGAAGGCTTGGAGTTCAGCTTGGTAGGCAGGACGAAGATCATTTACTAAAAAATGGCCTTCGACCCCCTCAACAAGAATCTTGATGTACCATTCATTGCCCCTATTCAGCTGTGTCTTGTGTCTTGTGCACTAAGGAACGGCACAAATCCCGATTGTCATTCAGTAGAGCCACACGACATGCATCTGTGGCCACCAGTGTCTCCAGCGAGATGAAATTCTGCTTTAGCTTCGGGCGTTCGCCACTGGACTCTGCGTGTTTTGGACCTTAAGGAATCCCACAGAGCTACAGGATCTGCCAGGTTGTCGGGTGGTGCGAATCAGTCAGAGATAGCCGCGGCGAACCTCCGGGCACACTCCTCCTCCCACAATCTGTCCAACTGAAACACTTTAAGGTGGACACTGGAGAGAAAGGGGCTTTCGAAGTGGACCCAAAGTGTCCTTGATCGATGTGGTACCAGAACTCAACACTCCGGGAAAGACTGCAGGACTGGAGGAATATCACAATACTATGTCCAGCGATGCGAGTGGGAGAGCTGAAACCAAGAGGCAGAAATATTCAATCTCTAGGACCAAGCAAAGGCTATTCTCACTGCTGGAATCAGCTCCTGGAGCTTGGGGATCGACAGCTATCTCGTAGCCAGCTCAGTCACAACCGGATACCGCATTGAAATCTCTCAGGACAATGCGAATGGCTCACCGGGGACAGTTTGGTATGGCGTACCTCTTTCACGTCGAGTTTGCAAACATTGGCAGTAGGGTACACAACATTACGCGAAATGTAGCTAAAAGCATGCTTCTGCCTTTGCAACCTTTATACGCTCACCGACCGGAGTAACCGGAGTAAAAGAAAGGTAACCATTGCTCTGGCCCCACCAGTAGTACGGGTACCCATTCAAACTGACCGTGCCGCTGCCAGGGCTCTCGAAAGTAGGAGTAATCGATTATCCTATAACAAAGAGCGGACATGGGGCTCTGCAGAAATACAATGGTTAAAAAGTAGGGATTAACTGAAGAACCTTTTGTTTATGTCAGATCTCAGGAAGGTAAAAGAATGATCATATAAATTATAGAACATTTAATATTTCATAAAAAATACGTACATCGAATTTCTAGAA